CTACGAATACTACTACGGCCACCAGTATCATTATGACTTCTACGGCTACGACTACTTCTACCACCACGATAATTAGTACCACTACGACGACTACCACTTCTACTACTATGTCTACTGCTATTACTACTACTGCTAGTACTACTACTACTACTACGAAGGTACGGCTACCATTTCTACCAGTACTATTATCACTACTCTACTACTAGCACGACTACTACTACGACGACGACTACTATTACTACTACTACTACTACTACTACTACTACTACTACTGCTACTACTTTTACTTTTACTACAACTACCGACCAGAACTACCATTACTACTACGACTACTGCGTTTTTGGCTACCACTATTGCTACTACGATTGGCAACCGTATGTCCATTGTTTTTACCACTACTACTTTTACTACTACTACTACTACTGCTCTCATTATGACTACTACGACTGCTACTACTACTTCTACTACGACTACTACTACGACTACGGCCACGACCTCTATTACTTCTACCACTACTACGCTTACTACTACTATTATGAGTACCACACAAACACTACTGGTACTAATACTACTACTACCACTCCCACTACTACCACTCCTACTACTACTCCTACTATTACTATTACTACTACTACTACTACGACGACTACTACGACGACTACTACGACTGCGACTACTATTATTCCCCACATCCAAAGTGGGTTTCTTGTTTTCTCTGGACACCCCGCGCAGGAACAGGAACACACACACACACCCACTCACACTCACTCACACTCTCATCATCAACCTCATCAGCATCATCGATGATGCTCTCTCACATGCTTAGTCACTCACATACTCATCATCATCATCACTCGCACTCTCTCACACGCTCACGAACATCATCATCATCATCATCGGCATCGGCATCATCCTCATTCAAACATCATCATCGCCACCACCACCCACAATCAATTATCATCCTCTTCACCACTCATCTCCACCACCACTCATCATCCTCATCCTCATCATCGTTGAGTAAATTGTGAGGAAGTCTCAGGCGGGAGCCCCCTCCCTATGGGGCCCGCCGATCATGTTGGTACTCCGAGCGGGTCATCGGAAACCTGTAACTGTCGTCACTTTTGGGCTCGTCAAGCCTGAAAATGGAGGAAGTCTCAGGCGGGAGCCTCGTCTGTGAGTGAATTGGGAGGAAGTCTCAGGCGGGAGCTCCCTCCCTATAAGGCCCGCAGATCATGTTGGTAATCCGAGCGGGTCATCGGAACCTTGTAGCTGTCGTCACTTCTGGGCTCCCCAAGCCTGAATTTGGAGGAAGTCTCAGGCGGGAGCCTCGTTTGTGAGTGAAATATGAGGAAGGCTCAGGCGGGAGCCCCCTCCCCATGGGGCCCGCAGATCATGTTGGGCCGAGCGGGTCATCGGAAACGTGTAACTGTCGTCACTTTTGGGCTCCTCAAGCTTGAATTTGGAGGACGTCTCAGGCGGGAGCCTCGTCTCTGAGTGAATTGCGAGGAAGTCTCAGGCGGGAGCCCCCTCCCTATGGGGCCCGCAGGCCTGAATTTGGAGGAAGTCTCAGGCGGGAGCTTCGTCTGTGAGTGAATTGTGAGGAAGTCTCAGGCGGGAGTTCCCTCCCTATGGGGCCCGCAGATCATGTTGGTAATCCGAGCGGGTCATCGGAATCTTGTAATTGTCGTCACTTCTGGGCTCCTCAAGCCTGAATGTGGAGGAAGTCTCAGGCGGGAGCCTCGTCTGTGAGTGAATTCTGAGGAAGGCTAATGCGGGAGACCCCTCCCTATGGGGCCCGCAGATCATGTTGGTAATCCGAGCGGGTCATCGGAACCTTGTAACTGTCGTCACTTTTGGGCTCGTCAAGCCTGAATTTGGAGGAAGTCTCAGGCGGGAGCCTCGTCTGTGAGTGAATTGGGAGGAAGTCTCAGGCGGGAGCTCCCTCCCTATGGGGCCCGCAGATCATGTTGGTAATCCGAGCGGGTCATCGGAACCCTGTAATTGTCGTCACTTTTGGGCTCCTCAAGCATGAATATGGAGGAAGTCGCATGCGGTTTTGTCCAGGGCGGAGGCGAAACAGCTCGCGGCAGAGCTGGGCTTCGTGCCGCCTTCCGCCTGAGCGCGGCTGCGCCTCGCTCGAAGCCCGCGGGGTTGTCCCAACGGCTTGGTCTTGCGCGCCAACGGCTCGCGGGGTTGTCCCGACAGCCTGGCCCGCGGGGTTGTCCCAACGGCTGCGCGACGTGACCAGTAGAGAACGCGCCTGTGCTGGCCGTGGCGGCGACGGCGCCGAGGAACATCGACATGCGCGCTCATGCAACAGGAAGGGGAGGAGGTGGCGGGGCGCGGAACAAACAGGGGGGCGAGGATGGGGACAACGTAAAGAGTGGAAGGGGGGCCCGCGCCAAGGCGACAGGAACTATACGCAGAAGAGACAGCCAGGACGCCTCACCAACCACGAGGACGACGGTGATGGTTTTTTTTTTTCCAGATTCGCCCAGAGGATTCTTATGTGGGGTTCTTCCGTCGGAGTAATTACTTCTTGCTACTTCGAATACTATTACTAATACTACTACTACTACTACTACTACTACTACCACTACTACTACTACTACTACTACTACTACGAATAATACTACTACTACTACTGTACTACTACTACTACTATTACTACTATTACTACTACTACTACTACTACTACTCTATTACTACTATTCTATTACTACTACTACTACTTCTACTACGACTACTACTACTACTACTATTACTACTACTACTACTACTACTACTACTACTACTACTACTACTACTTCTACTACTACGACTACCACTACCACTACCACTACCCCTACCACTACCACTACCACTACGACGACTATTAGCAGTTGTACTACGAAGCTGCTACCAATAATTCTACTACTTCTGTCACAGCTACTACTACTACTAGCACCACTGCGTCGACTACTTTCACCACTGGTATGGTAATACGAGTACTTATACTGTTGTTTCGACTGTCTCTTACCACCTCTCATAGGCGAAGGCGACTGTGCACATCTCAACTATTATGTTTCTATTGTTTACGACAGTATTGTGTCTACTGCTGCGGCTATACGGCTATTGCTACCGCCGCCTCGCAAAAAGTCATGGCGGCAGAACCTCACAGACGCAAGCCGTGGGAAAGGAGGACAAGGCGCGCCCGCTGCGTCGCATCCGATCGTTCAAGGTTGAATTTGGTCGCGGCCACGGCGTCCGCCCCGATCGTTCAACCTTGAAGGGATCGTGGCCCTGATCGTTCAAGGTTGGATTCCGTCGCGTCCTGTGGCATGTCCGTGTCCCTCGGTGCTTACGCGTCCTTCCATCATTTTTTGCTTCTGCGCCCCCCCCGTGCGGCCCCGATCGTTCAAAGTTGACTTCGTTCGGGCCCTGCGGTGCTGCGGCTCCGAGTTATGCTGCCGTGTTGCTTCTCCGGCGCCCTCCGCTGCTCCAGTAGAACGAGTCTTCGGATTTTCCCGTGTTCTCAGGTGCTTCAGTGTCCTCGGGGATCCCCGTGTTCTGCGAGAAGTCACTTGCGAGAATGCGAGATGGCGGGTTCAACAATGCGAGAAGGCGCGTGCGATAATGCGAGAAGTCCCACGGCAGCCCGCACAGGGCGCGCCTCCGCGCACGCCGCTCCAGTTCCAGTTCCAGTTCCTAGGATTCCCGTGTCCTCCTGTGTTTTTGTGTCTTTTGATGTTTCTGTGCCTTGCGGTGCTTCCGTATATTTTGGCGCTGTTTGTCTTCCCGTGTTCTCTTGCCTTTTCGGTGTTTCCGTGTCTCCTGGCGTGTTGTGCGTATTCGAGGGGACTTCCGGGGGCAGCGGAGGGTGCGGGAGCAACAAAGCAGAGCACGGAGGCGCAGCAACGACAGAGTTTTTTCTTGAACGACTGAGGGCGGCACCAGCGGGGCCAGGAAATGCCGCATGGTAGAACCATGCGTAAACACCCAGCGACACGGCAACGCCACAAAACCAACCGGAATTCAAGAATTTTGAACGATCGGGGCCGCGATCGATTCAAGGTCGCAGGATCGCCGCGGTGACAAAAACCTTTGCGCGCGCCAGCGCCGCACGAACCCACCGTAGACCGTAGATCCATTGCTGCAGACCGGCATAATCCCGCGTAGTTCCCTGTGGCCCGGCGGAATCGGGTTGAACAGGGGCGGACTATCCAAATGCATCCGGTTCAGTGGCCCTTGATTCGGGACTGATCGGCATGAATCGTTTTTTTATGTAAACAACCAAGTCGGCGGCGAGGGGGGGCACGCCGGCGACGAAACCCATGGCATCCCGCGTAAGCCGGCGTAGTTTGGGCTCTGTGGGCTCAGTGGTTCGTCGATATGAGTTCTTAGCCCGGAGTTCGGGACGATCGAAATGGGTACGGAAAGATATGGGACGAGGCCCAACAGCAGTTCTTGTTCATTTTGACCAGGACTCGCTGTCCGCGCCGCCGCGGTCGGTGTCCCTTGAAGATGCAACGCCGCCTGCCCAACAGCGGCCGCTGACGGTTTTGGACAACACCTGTCGTTGGGTAGTGTGCCAAGGCGTCCAAACAAAGCGTTCCTACGAAGGCCTCCCCGAAGTTGCCTCCTGACGTGTCGGCGCCGCCCCTCCAGGCCACCCGCGAGGGCGCGAGGATCGTCGCGTCCCTTCCTCGATGACGGCGGCACGAGGCGCGAAGGTAATCTCAAGTCGGGCATGGCCCTCTACAGGAAGAAGATCCAAGGGTATTGAAGCAGAGGTCGAAGGACGGTGCTCCGCGCTCTCCTGGCTATCTTGTTTTTTGTTGTTCCGTGCTCGTTCGAAACAATCACTTCGACGTCCGCCTGTGGGAGGACATGCCCGGCCTAAACTTGATCGCGCAGCGCGGTGCGCCGTGCGCGCAGGCAGGTGATCTATAGTTCCTCGAGGGTCGCCGTCGTCACCCCTTCTGAAGTAGGTCGCCGCCGTGCGCCGTTGGGCCGGGTAGGCTGGTTCTACCGTGGCGCGCCGCTCGTGGAGCCCGAGCCCCCCCCCCCATGCCCGGCCGCCGCCGCCGCGCGCGCGCCCCCCTCATATTCGGGGGCGGCAAAGAGGGGGGTGATGATTAGGGGGGGGTGGATGTCATGGCGGGGGCCATGATATTTCCCCAGATTTCAAGGCGCCTCTTCTTGTTTCATTATTACGTCCCTGGCCCCCCCGCTGGGCCGCGCACATGCCGCCGGTCATGATTTGCACCTCCCCCTCTTGGATATTCCCCTCTTTGCCGTTCTTGATTATTTGAGCAACGCAGAACAAAACGGTTTTCGACTGATTGCGCCGACATTTGCGCGCAAGTTGGTCGCGCAAGGTCGCGCGCACGCGCCCTCGCTTACAGCGTAGCGTGCCGCGCCGGCGGCGCGTGAGCCACCGCATAAGGCCGCCATGCCATCTCGCGCAAGACCCGTCTGTGATCGTCGCTCAGTCGTTTTTGTTCCTCCCAGAGGCGCGAGACTCCAGGCTTCCCCAAAAGGGTTCTGGCACCATCGCGCGACGCACGTTTTTTGACCGTTGCCCGCCTCGGGCGGCCTTCGTCGGGGCAGGTGACCGTCAGAGAGAACGCCTCAGCGTGAAAGGTGGTTCCGGGGAAGTGGTCTGAACCTCTTGGGGGTGCACGTGGGGCGTTCCAACAGGGCCTTGCGCCCGGGACCGAACAGGCGCTTCATATTCTTCCCGCAGGATCTTAGGACCTAGGATGAGGCGGAGGGGCAGAGGGGTTGCAGGGCGGGCGGATGCAGCGCTCGAGCGTTCCTCGGCGCTCTCTGGCATTGTAGTTTATCCTCGGTCGTTGTAGGTTCTCGGTTGCCCTCGGGTGCCTTCGGTCGCTATCGCTGGTCTTTGGCCGCTCTCGTGCGCTGTCTGGCGCCCTCGATTGTCTCAGGGCCCGGGGCACCCCTGGCAGCTGTCAGCGTCCCCTGGCGATCTCGGGCGCTCTCGGGGCGGTCTGGGGCGTGAAGCGGAGTAGCAGGGGAGGAATCTGTGGATGATGGGGAAGGGAGGAGGGAGGGATGAGGTATCGGACAAGGGGGTCCTAGAGTCTAGAGGGAGGAGGGTGACGAGAGCGACGACGACAAGGCGGAGGGGTCGAAGAGGCAGCAGGGACGAGGAATGGATGGATGGATGATCAAGCAGATCATCAGGAGCACCAGGAGGAGGACGAACAGGAGGAGCAGCAGACGGAGGAAACGGAGGCGGAAGGGAGGAGATTGAGGGGGTATCGAGAGAGAGCGGGAAGAGGAGGTGAAAGTAGAGGCGGAAAAGCGAGAACGGAGAGGATGTGGAAGCGGAGGTGGGAATAGGATCAATGATACAATATTATAATGGATACGATTGATGTGTCGGTTGGGGGGAGGGGAGGGGGGAGCTCCCTCGCAGTTCACCATGCAAACTGCACACTTTTTCGAATTGAACAACTTTCGGAGGTCTGCGCGGCTTTTTTGTGTCCGCGTTGATACCTTCCACCCCTGGCGCGCTTCGCGCATCTGGGGGAGGGGGCCGTCCTCGACATGACAGATCCACACGGACCTCCGGAAGCCCCGATCTGTTTACGTGGAACTTTTTGTTTTCCATGATTGTGTAGGCCTGACGGCCAGTGCCGCCGACTCTGAAAGACATCGACGACGACCAGGAGGGGGAGGAGGAGGAGGAGAAGGAGGAGGAGTATGAGGAGGATTAGGAGGCGGAGATAGGAGGAGGAACAGGACTCCCCCCTGGGACCCCCCCCCCTTGGGGAGGAGGACCGGTGGAGGACCGGCGTGGGAGAGGGGAGGGGGGGGGGGGATGAGGACCCCCAGAGTGCTCACGTGGAACTTCCTGATTCAATGATTTGGCCTCTCCCTCCTCCCGCCCGTCAGCGACGTGCCAAGGGGTGACGTGGGAAGGCTCAGGCCTGCTCTCCGGGCGGCGGGGCTCCTCGGAAGCCCGTGGGCCTCTTCGGAAGCCGACCGCGGCCTCGGAGAGGGCTTAGCGAGCCGCTCAGTTGGCTTGAGGCCCTCTGTCGGGAGGGGAACAACACACAGTCACAGTTAATCGTCGATTCTCAGAAAATATGGGAAAAGATGGGAAGTGGGAGGGAATACAAAAACCCAGAAAATATAGGAAAATATCGGGAATCCTGTTATTTGTGTGTATTTGTTTGTGTGTCCCAGTGTCCCTTCACTCTGAGCCCTCAGGTGAGGCCCGCCCTCTCTGTCCACAGGCGGTGTCTCTCCCCCAAATCCCCCGAGTTCCGCTCGAAACGTTCGGCCGACCAGAGAAAGAGGGAGAAGCTCTGGGATACAGCCCCACGGGAGCTCTTCGGACGCGCACCCCTGTCAGGGACGGACGCCCCCCCCCCCATCGCCCATCGCATAACCCAGGGTTGGGCCCCAACTTTCTGGTCCATTCGAAAACTCCTCGAGCCTGGGATACATTGGAGGCCCATGCCAAGAAACACACTGCTTGCCTCCAGGGTGCCTGGGTTTCTTGGTTTTTATGGTTTGGCTATGGAAAGCGCGGCGTTCCCAGACCAAACATCAATGGACGCCCTGGGGTCTCAGGGTTGGGTTTCTGGTGGAAGGTTTCTCGTGGTCGGGCCCCTATGGTGCGCTCCGCGCAGGACATCCGCGACAAAAAGCGCCCCGTATCTACGGTTATGTCGGGCGTGTCCTTCTACAGGGGAATTTTCGACGAAAAACAAAAAATACACCAATAATGCACCCCGAAAAGGTTCAACAAGACTTAAAACAACTACTCCGTGTAGTATTTTTGGAGTATTGTTTGATTATGTTTTGGGTATTTTTTTTCCCGTCGAAAATCCCCCTGAAGGGGGACAGGCCCGACATAAATCTACGGAGTCACGGCCCAGGGGCCTGGCCCGCGAGGCCGTTGTCACGGATCTGCTTTCCACCCAACGGCGCCCCTCGCGCGGCCGTCCTTCTCGGCCCAAGGCGCGCCCGCCTCGTGGCTTGACCTCCATTGCAAAGGGTCGACACACCGTCAAAAGCCTTCATGAGGACGCGCGGCTTTGCTCAGGGTACCCTTGCGTCCTTGCTCTTCTCTGCTCCTGCGTCCTTGAGGCTTTCGTCGTCCGCCGCCCCAAAAATCCCAGCTTCGGCTTCCAAGGGTCTTGCGTCCTTACCGCGCGTCCTTAGTCGGGTTTTCGACCGTGCCCCGTGTCATCTGCCTCCCCCCCCTGGGGCGCGCCGCCGGACACGAGACGGGTCCTCCTGCGGCCGGCCTGGCGCTATCCCGGGCTCGCGGGCCCGCACTTCCCCTCCCCCCCCCTGCCCCCCCTCGCGGAGAACCGCCTCTCGAGGCGGGGGCTTCTACGCAACCGCCGCGGACCTCCGAGGGCGGTCTCTTCCGCGTGCGGGCGCGCCCCCCGCGGCTCCGCGAGAGGACATCTCATTTGTGGCCACGAAGATCCAGCTCACCTCGAAGCGCGTCCTCGGCGACGCGGCGGCCAGGGCCATGCTGAGCATGAGCGTTTAGGTTTTCTGTCCTGGAGACGGGTATATGTTGGCCGCCAAAGCATGTCGACTCTGCCAGTACAGAGCCCAGCGTTGGTGGCAGCGTGGGAGGCCCGCGACAACGAGCGAGTCGGGCTAGCCAGACGAGCCGGCTCGACCCCTTTTCCTGGCGGCCGGCCAAGCGGTCAGAGCCGCGGGCCGCCGCATATAGGACGTGCTACGAAATCTGTGCAATATTCACGAATCATTCGAGTCGGCGAAGCTACTCCTCCTCATCCTCCCCCTCCTCCTCCTCCTCTTCCTCCTCCTCCTCCTCCTCCTCCTCCTCCCTCCCCACCTCCCTCTCGCGGGACAGTGGAGAGAGGAGGGGCCGACGTGGCGGAGCAGGCGAAGCTACGTCATTCGAGACTCCTTCAGGGAATTCCTCGCCGCGCAATACGCTGTATATATATATGTATATATGTGCGTATGTATATATATATATATATATATATATATATATATATATAATATATATATATATATATACATGCTCTGCATGCGGACCATGTATCCAAAAAATGCACGGATGTAGTATGAAAAACAACGATGAGCTCATGCGTACATGCATTCATCGATTCATCATGTATTGCCAATCCAATATGTTTGAAAATCCTATGTATTAAAAACTGCCCTGTATGTTGGCCCCCGCCGGGGCCCACGTCTGTCCATATCCACCGCCCGCTGGGCCCCCAGGACGGTCGGCTCCCAGGCGGCGGGCACGGATGCACCCCCGCCTCGCAGGCCCGCCCTCGTCGGAGGCGCAGGCCCGGGGGGGCGCGCGCCGGGCCGGCGCGCGCGGGCACACCTGGGGCTGCCCACGACGACAGAGGCTGGGCGTCGTCGGCTGGCCTCGCCCCCCCCCCCCCAGCGGAGAGCCTGGCTTCTCGCCCCCCCAACAAAAAAAAAAACACGACCCCCTTCCTCTTCGACCCCCTTCCTCTTCGACCCCCTTCCTCTTCGACCTACTTCCTCTTCGACCCCCCCCCAGCAAAAAAAGCGCGACCCCCTTCCTCGTCGACCCCTCCTCGGGAGGGGCCTCCTCCCCCTCGACCTGCTCTGGCCCCGTGGCCACGGCCGCCAGCGCAGGGCGAAGAAGATGCAGCCGAGGCTGCAGTCTGGCCTGTCCCTCTACAGGGGGAATATGCAAAAGTAGTCAAAAGATAGCCTGGGGACCATGGTTTGACCATTCTGGGGCGTTTGGGGGGCATGTTTGGGGTATGTTCCCTACCTAGGCTCTGCCTAGAAGGGTTCTTACTCTCTTAGCTAAAGGGGCCGGGCAATGGAAACTGCCCCGGGTGGTTCCGCCAGTCCCCGCCCCGCGGTTCCCCCAGTCCTTTGGGAGCTTCAGCCTTAGCTTTAGCTTAGCTTAGCTTTAGCTTTAGCTTTAGCTTTAACTTTAGCTTAGCTTTAGCTTAGCTTTAGCGTAGCTTCAGCTTAGCTCCAGCTTAGTGTCAGCTTAGCTTTAGCTTAGGCTTAGCTTTAGCTCAGCTTTAGCTTAGCTTTAGCTTAGATTTAGCTTAGCTTCAGCTTAGCTTTAGCTTAGCCTCAGCTTTAGCTTAGCTTTAGCTTAGCTTTAGCTTAGCTTTAGCTTATCTGTAGCTTAGCTTTAGCTTAGCTTCAGCTTAGCTGTATCTTAGCTTTAGTCTAGCTCTAGCTTAGCTTTAGCTTAGCCTTCGCTTAGCTTTAGCTTAGCCTTAGCTTAGCTTTAGCTCAGCTTTCGCTTAGCTTCAGCTTAGCTTCAGCTTAGCTTCAGCTTAGGTTTAGCTTAGCTTTAGCTTCAGCCTTAGCTTTAGCTTTGATTTAGCTTAGCCTTAGCTTAGCTTCAGCTTAGCTTTAGCTTTGTGCTAGCTTAGCCTTAGCTTAGCTTTAGCTTGGCTTTAGCTTAGCCTTAGCCTAGCTTCAGCTTAGCTTTAGCTTAGCTTCGGCTTAGCTTCAGCTTAGCTTTAGCTTAGCTTTAGCTTAGCTTTAGCTTAGTTTTAGTTTAGCTTTAGCTTAGCTTTAGCTTAGCTAGTTGAGCTTTCCTGTTGCTACGAATGCTGCTTTCCTAGGGGCTCCAACTCCTAGGTAGGGTCGCACTGGGATAATCTCGTTTTTCATCCAACATCCGCCTGTAGGGGGGCATGCCCGACCTGAGTCTAGGTAAGCATCGCGCCCAGAGCCCCCCGCGCCGTGCTCTGCGCCAGCTTTCCAGCCACAGCGATCTGCGAGGGCCCCCAGGGGGCCCGAAGCTTGGGCAGGCGCGCCGTGCCCGCAGACGCTGAGACGCCAGGACCTCGGGATCTCGGGGCTCGCCTCGACTCCTCCGATTCGATTCGATTCGACTTCGATGAACTCCGATCCGGGGAGGAGGCGGAGGGGGAGGAGGAGGAGGAGGAGGAGGAGGAGGAGGAGGAGGAGGAGGAGGAGGAGGCGGAGGCGGAGGAGGAGGAGGAGGAGGAGGAGGAGGAGGAGGAGGAGGAGGCGGAGGCGGAGGAGGAGAGGAGGAGGAGGAGGAGGAGGAGGAGGAGGAGGAGGAGGAGGAGGAGGAGGAGGAGGAGGAGGAGGCGGAGGCGGAGGCGGAGGAGGAGGAGGAGGAGGAGGAGGAGGCGGAGGCAGAGGAGGGGCCTCAAAAAAGAAGGGGGAAACTCGGGAAGACACGCTCGGGCGGGGGGGGACAATCAAGCGATCGCAAATATGGATCAGGGGACGTGGATCAGCGACGGGTCCCGTTTCCATGGGAAGTCGCGGATTTCCGCCGCCGAGCGAGGCGGCACCGGTCGCATTTTGGGGAGGGCACATTCCCCGATCCATGGATTTGGCGACCGCGCGCCAAATTCATGGATCGCTAATCCATGCTTGCGCGCCCCCAAGGCAATTCGGACGCACCCAGGAATATCGAGGAGGGACGCCTCCGTCGTATGTCGCAGAGCTCGGCTCCAATGTGTGCTCCGTTCGAGAGCGCCACAGAGTCGGGGACGGGTCGCCATGCAGTCGGGCCGAGGCATGAGATCGAGATCGGCTGGGGGACGGTGCGACTTGGTGGGTGCTCTTCGTGCCTGTTGGATGCTCTTGCGCATCCTGTGGAGGGCACCCTTGGCCGCTCTGTGTGTGCTTTGGGCGGCGGAGGGTCTCGTGCTCTTTCAAGGTCCGACTGTACGCCATCTCGCGTAAGCCCTTGAGATCCGACGCAACGAACAATAATGCAACATCGTAAGAAATCACGCCCGAGGCCCTAGACCCCATCTTTCTGTGTCCTTGATCGAGCCAGATCGATCCGTGATAGCCGAAAACATGGAGCGCGCCCGGGAAGGGGAGAGGGAGAAGGAGGAGAAGGAGGAGGAGGAAAAGGAGGAGGAGCAGGATTAGGAGAGGGAGGAGGAGAAGGAGGAGGAGGCGGAGGAGGAGGAGGAGGCGGAGGAGGAGGAGGAGGAAAAGGAGAAGGAGGAGCAGGATTGGGAGAGGGAGGAGGAAGAGGAGGAGGAGGAGGAGGAGGAGGAGGAGGAGGAGGAGGAGGAGGAGGAGGAGGGAGGAGGAGGAGGCGCCATGGGTCGCCGGTCCCCCCCCCCGTCGGTCCCCCGTGCGCCCCTCCCTGTCCGCCCCCACGGGCCCTCGAGAGGACTCGGCCGGCGCCCTGCGGGAGCTGCGGCTGCCACAGGACCAGGCGCCTCGCGTCGGCGCCCCCCGGCGGCGGAGCGGGGAGCGCAGGGGGTCGGTCAGGAGGGAAAGGAACACACAGACACAATTCATCTTCGATTTCAAGGAGAATATGGGCAAATATGGGAAGTGGGTGGGAAGACAAAAACCCATAAGATATAGGAAAATATGGGTGATCCTGTTATCTGTGTGTGTTTATTTGTGTGTCCTTGGGCCCCTGGAGTCGGGAGCCTTTGAGACGGGGAACAAAAAGTGACATAAACATAACAACTCGGAGGTCCGCGCGGATTTCTCGGTTCGGCGCTGGACCCCCCCTCCCTGGCGCGCTGAGCGCGCCAGGGGCGGCGCCGGAGGCGCCGCCGGGGGGGCCCAGCGCCGATCCGAGACGTCTGCGCGGACCTCCGAGTTTTTGTGTTTATGTCACTTTCTGTTCCCCTATTGAGACGGGGGTCAGTGCCAAAAGGGGGGTCAGCCAGAGCATCCGATCCTGCAGGATCCTGCAGGGCCAGGGTGGTTTTGGGCGCAGGAACCCGCAGGATCTGGCAGGATTTGGGTGCAGGATCGTGCAGGATCTTCCAGGAGTTTGCAGGGCCTGACTGGCCCGGGTCTGGATTGACCCATCTCAGAAGATCCCCGAGGAGGCGGAGGGCCGGCTCTCCACCAGAGGGTGAAGTCAATTGAACGCCCCTGAGGGGGCAGACACCGCCGCTCCACCTTCTCGGGGAGCGAGGATTTTGTGGGCTTGGGTGGGCCAAGACGGCGCCATGGAGGCCAACATGTTCAAAAAGACGGCCCTAAGAGGCCCCCGAAGTCTGCGAAAACAGGCCAAAAAGGGCACCCGAAGGTGTGGAACATTGCGGACGAGACCGAAGAGGGATACGGAGTGGCAGAAATGAGCACCGCCAGTTTGTATTGGGCTTCAGAGGGGCCTCCAGGCAACCCCTGGATGCGCCAAAGCCCGCCGCTCAGCTCAGCGCCAACAAGGCGTTCACACGGCCGAGGAAGGCCCCGAGAGGCTGCCAGGACGGCCCCTCGGCGGAGCGGGACGCGCAAGGGCGTTGGGCGGGCTCACCATCAGAGGAGGAAGTCAATCGCTTCGCTCATTCCGCCGGCCCAGACTGTCCTATCGGGCGCGTCTGCCCGCGCGTTCATCGCCACCGTGTACCCTGCACGGGTGCAGCTCCGGTGGGCCCCGAGAACCTGGAAGCGCCGGGTCCGGAGGGCAGCCTCGCCATCAGGGGGTCCCCAGGGTTCGCTTAGTTTCGTTGGGCTCCTGCTTGGAGGCGAGGGCGGTCAGAAGCGAGGTATGGGTTCGTGTGCCTGTTGCTCAACACCCACCAAACCACCCCAATCCAAGCCGAAGGCCTCAAGCTGCCCTCCATCTCTAGTGGGTGGGGGACGTCGGGGAGCATTGAAATGACATGTCGCCCCCCCAAAACTCGAAGGTCGGGTCTTTGGGTTCGGTTGGGGTGGCCTGGCAGGTAGTCACTTGCACCGGGCAAGTCTTTGGACGCGTTCTGGCATTGTCGTGGGCTCCCCTGCGGCTTGCCCTTCTCCGGGTGCCTTCGGGCAGCTGACCGAGGGCGTGCCGGGGGTGCCCGTCATCTTCCTCCTCCTCCTCCTCCTCCTCCTCCTCTTCCTCCTCCTCCTCCTCCTCCTCCTCCTCTCCCATCCCCTCCCCCTCCAGAGACCCGAGTTGTGGCCCGAAGGCAGTTTTTGCTTTACCGCCAGCCATCACCGCCAAACGAAGTTGATCCGTGCTCTGGTTTGTAGCCGTCGTCAGAGAAGGTGCCGAGAGCGTCTGAGGCGTGCACTGTCCCGAAGCCTGTCCTGAAGCTGCCTCTCCCTGCCGGGAGGTTCGGGATACGTGACGGTGCTCGAGCGACAAGCTGGCCCGAAAGTCCGGCGACGAGGGTCGGGTCTGACGAAACGGGAAGTTAGGGAAAAGCGAGGGTACGGAATCTGCTGCGAGCAGCGGGTATCAGCGCCGCCATGATTCGGGGGGACCGCACTGGGGTACGGGAATGACGGGTACAAAGCCCGACAGCAGTTGTTTTTCATCTTGTACAGAATTCGTTGTCGGCGTCGCGGTGGTTGTTGTTTATCTAATCGCTTCGCTCATTCCGCCAGCCCATAATGTCGCACCGTGGTCGCCTGTCCGGGTGGTCGTTTGCAGTGTGGAGCTGCGGCGTCGGGAGCTGTGTAGTGTTTGGGGCGTTCTTGGGGCCCTCTTGGGCCATCCTGGAGGCCTCTGGGGCCGTCTTGGAGCCGTCTTGGGCCGTCTTGGGGCCCTCTTGGGGGCCTCTTGGGCCCTCTTGGGGCGATCTTGGAGGCCTCTTGAGCCGTTTAGGGGCGTCGGGGAACCGAAAAGGTTAAAACGCCCAAATCTGTCCAACACCAAAGGAAAAGCACAGGTTTTTGCCTCTTGGGGCCCTCTTGGGAGTTCTCTTGGAGGCCTCTTGGGGCATCTTGGAGGCTTCTTAGGCCATCTTGGAGACGTCTTGGGCCGTGCGGAGGCCATCTTGGGCGTTGTGGAGCGATCTTCGGGCGTCTCGGACCTCTCTTGGACCGTGTTGGGGGCGTTCGTGGGGCCCTCTTGGGCCGTCTTGGAGGCCTCTGGGGCCGTCTTGGAGCCGTCTTGGGCCGTCTTGGGGCCCTTTTGAGGGCCTCTTGGGCCCTCTTGGGGCGATCTTGGAGGCCTCTTGAGCCGTTTAGGGGCGTCGGGGAACCGAAAAGGTTGAAACGCCCAAATCTGTCCAAAAATTAAGAAAAAGCATTGATTTTTGCCTCTCGGGGCCCTCTTGGGAGTTCTCTTGGAGGCCTCTTGGGGCATCTTGGAGGCTTGTTGGGTCATCTTGGAGACGTCTTGGGCCGTCTGGAGGCCATCTTGGGCGCCGTGGAGCGATCTTCGGGCGTCTCGGACCTCTCTTCGATTGTGTTGGGGGCCTCTTGGGGCCCTCTTGGGGCGATCCTGGAGGATCTCGGGGAGTGTCCCGGGCGTGTCTCGGGAGTGTCCCTGGCGTGTCCCGGGCTCCTCCCGGGGTACTTTTGATCCAGGGACCCCCAGGGGCCGCCCCGCGCGCGCGAACTAGAAATACTGTTTACCAGTTACCGGAGATCTTAGCACGTCTCTGGCCCGTTGGGCCGGCGAATTTGAGATGCGAGGTCGCCTGGCCAAAAGCGGCCGCTGTCGGTGTTGGACAACATTTGTTGTTGGGCATCGTACCCATTTGCTTCGTACTCATCACGGGCGTTCACTTTTTTATCTGCGGGGCGAGAGCGAACCTCTTCCGTTAAAAGCTAGGCGGGCTATGCACAGCTTTACTTAGGGAAACAGGGCACAGGAAGGCGGGGCCTCAGGCGGCCGGAGTGGGCGAAGCCCAGGGGTGCAGGCGGTGCCGAGGTGAATGTGCACGAGCAGGTGCGCCGCGGGCTGGTACCGGAGGCGAAGACCCAGAGGGTGAAGGAGAAGGTGTTGCCGTCGACGGCGCATCGCGAACACCAACCTCAAGCGCTGCAGAGGGGGACGCGCCTTTTGACCAGGTCGACGCCCAGGAAGAAGAGGAGCACCACGAAGGCGATGTGCAACGTTGTGCCACCAGGTGATGCGGAAGAGGCCTGGGGTGGTAGTCCAATCCACGAGCAGGTAGCAGCTTGCTTGAGGAGCGGCCTCAGACAAAGGGCCGTTCATGTCCGACAGGATGTCGGTGGACTGCAGGGAGAAAACCTGCCCTGCACCGCCAGCGCGTGAAGACTGGCAGCAGCCACACACGATGCGCTGGCATCCGCATTGCCGATGGCCAGGCCTGAGCCGCGCAGCGCCAGCGGGCGTCCACAATGACCTTTCCTTTATACACGGGCGCCCCTGGCGCCAGGATCACCAGCAACGTGAGTTGATTCGATAACCCCATTTGACAGTCCCCCCCTATGTCCGAGCCGAGATGGAAGCCATTTCTTTATTGGTTGGGGCATGACGGGCGTCATGGCCCCCGCCCCCCCTCTATGACGTAACGCTCCCCCCCCAGTGCGCTCCTGGCAGTGCCGCCGTGAGCATTGGGATCCGCGTAGGTGTCCGCGTAGGAATCCGCATAGGTGTCTGGTCCGCACGCGTCGTCGTCGTCGTCGTCGTCGACGTCGTCGTCGTCGTCGTCGTCGTCGTCGTCGTTCGTCGTCGTCGCTCGTGGTTCGTCGCTCGTCGCTCATCGTCGTCGTGCGTGCGGACGCGGCTCGAGCGTGTTTTTAAGTCCGGGCCGATGACGGCAATCATCGGGGGGGGGGTCGATGACGTCACGTTTCGCGCCAACGGCGTTTGGGAATGGTTAGGAATGACGGAGGACGGGTAGTACGAACATGTAGGTGGCGATATACAACACAACGCTTGTGTACATCACAGTGCCCGCGTGCACCACAGCGCCTGTGTACACCACGCCGCCGATGTATACCACAGCAACCGCGTGCAACACAGCGTCAGTTTGTGCCACCGCGCTTGCGGGAACAGCAATTCTTGTGTACACCACAGCGCTTCCGTACACCACACCAGCCGTGCGCAACACAGCACCAGGGTACACCACAATGCTTGCGTGCATTGCAGTGCCTGTGTACGCCACGGCGCCTGTGTGCACCACATCAGCCGTGTGCAACACAGCGCCATTGTTGTGTATAGAATGTCAGAAGGATTCCTTGTGACAAAATGGAGCGCGTGTGGATTCCAGAGAAAACAATTGTAAACAAATCCTCATTACAAAGGGGCGCCGCTGGAATCTACGAGTCCCCCCGAGTCCGCTCGCATCACCCTAACTCCAGTTGCGTCCAAGAGGCTCCAACTAAATTGTCCGTCCGGGAGCCAAGTGGACAGATTCAATCGACCATTCTGCGGTGCACGCTGATATGCACACGTGCGTTGTAACGCCAAGCCGCACGACAGGGGGTAAGAAGGAGGAAAAGGAGGAGGAAGAGGAGGAGGAGGAGGTGGAGGAAGAGGGAAAAAGGAAAAACGTCGCATTCGATTATCAGAACTTTCTTGGCGTGGCGTTTAGTTGTCCGCATCATATCCTGACGTACATGCTCCTTCTACCTGTCCGATGCACGCAGGCACTGTGGTGTACACGCGCTGCGTTGCACGCAGATGCTGTGGTGTAGACAGGCGCTGTGGCGTGCACAGGCGCTGTGGTGCACGCAAGCACTGGTGTACACAGGCGTTGTGTTGCACATGGCTGCTGCGGTGTATGTACACCAGCGCTGTAGTGCTCCCATTGTGGTATACACGGGCGGTGCGTTGCACACGGCTGTTGCGGTATACGCAGGCGATGTGGTGCACACGCGCGGTGTGGTGCACGCGATCGTTGTGGTGCACACAGGCGCAATGGGCAGATCGCCACTTACATGCTGCTCGCGTCGTCGTCGTCGCTCGTCGCTCGTCGCGTCGTGCGCGCGGGCGCGGCTGTGTTGCCGGAGCCACACGGCGGGGGGGGGCGTTACGTCATACCCCCCCCCGCTTTCCCCCGCCCCCCCCCCCCCATGACGCCCGTCATCGCCGAACATAAAGAAACGCCTTCATGAGATGCTGTGCCACGTTCGATCGGTGAAGAATCCCCCCCTGCTCCACGGGGCGGAATGGTCAGGTGACGGACGGACGGAGGAGGAGGGGGAGAGGAGGAGGAGGGAGGGAGGAGCAGGAGGAGCAGGAGGAGGAGGAGGAGGAGGAGGACGTCGAGGAGGAGTAGGAGGAGGACTTCGAGGAGGACGACGATTGTCGGAGGCTTACAGGGCGACAGGGATGCTCAGATAAGGAGGGTGGCGTGGACCGGTATGGGGAGATGCCCACGATTGGGTGGCTTACAGGGCGACAGGGATACTCAGAAGAGAAGGATGACGACGACCAAGAAGAGGACGGCGACTAGGTTCGGGGCTTGCTGATCAACAGATGTGCTCAAAAGAGGAGGCGGATGACGACGACCAAGCGGGTTCCGAGGACTACGATGGTAGTTACAGGGCGATAGGGATGTTCAACAGAGGACAAAGGCCGCGACGAGGACGACTAGAAGGAGTACGAGGATTACGATAAGGAGGTTTGCAGTGTGACAACGGTGATGGGGAAAGGGCGGGAAGAGGAGCAGGACGAGGACGTCGGGGGCTTGTAGTCCGAAAGAGGTGGAACACGGGGAAGCACCATTACATCTACAGAGGCAGATCCAATCAATCCTGTTCCAATCAGACCAGCCAAATCCACGAATCGTCCCAAGAGATGGAGGTGCACGGAGGCCAGCATGGCTCCACCAGGCCAATCTCGTGTCAGTCTAAAGATTGCAGAAGTCTCCGTCGGGTGGGTTTCAGACACTGAGTAATTACGCAGCATTGCCAGTGTATTAAGGCACTCTGGTCTGTTCCCGTGGGGGCTGCTTGGAGGCCTGTGGGCGTCTTGGGCGTCACCTTGTCGCGGAGGGCTCTCGGGGTCCATGCGAGCTCCCCCTCGCGAGCCCCTTGTTCGGGCGAAGGGAACTATGCACATGCACCGATCCTGGCAAGGCCCATTCTTGACCCAGGATCGGTGCATATACCTTCCTAGCCAAGGTAGGAGGGCGTATGCACCGAGCCTGGGCTAAGGGTGGGCCTGGCCAGAATCGGTGTATGTGCATAGTTCTGTTTCCTCTACTTGTGGGGCCCTCTCGAGGGCATGCTTGGCGGTCTGCGGGGCCTCTTTTTTCCGCTTCGGAGCCCTTCTTTTGGGCCGCCTCCGGGCCTTCCAATTGGCTCGTGGTGGCCAGGGCCTCCCGGGGTCCTCTTTGGCCGCCTCAGGGTTCTCTGGGCCCGTCTGACGCCTTGGGAAGCCGTCTCCGGGGACTCTCTGGTGATGGGTCTGTTTCCCACCACCACCACCACCACCATAAGTTGGAGGGGGAAAGCAGGAGGAGGAGGGGGAGGAGGAGGAGGAGGAGGAGGAGGAGGACTCCCTCCGCCTCCAACTTATGGTGGTGGTGGTGGAAAACATGCCCATCATCTGGAAAGCCCGCTCCAGGACCGTTTTGAGGTCACGTGTGCCGTCTTGCGGACCTGCCGGGTCCGTCTGGGAGAGGAATTTGGGTGCCGTGGGGCTTTCTAGGCGGCTTCATGTTGGGGGCCTGTCGGGCCGTTGTGGGCCGTCAGAGGCCCGAAAAGGTATCTAGGTTAGGATATATCAAAACCCGAAGGGGAATCAGTGATGTGGGCCTCTTCGGGCCCTCGTTGGGGTACTATTGGGAGCCTCCTGAGCAGTCTTGCAGCCATCATCGGGGCATTCTGGTGCATCTTGGAATCTTTTTGGGGCGCCCGTGAAGGCCTGTTGGACCCTCTTGGGGCGTTCGGGAGGCCATCCTTGGCAGTCCTGGAGCCCGTCTTGGGCGGTCTTGGCAATACTGGAGACGAGTGCTCGTGATCGGGTTCTTTTTCCCAGTGGCTGGCGGGATCGGGCGGAAGGCCACCGGAAACTTCTCAGAGGGGCCACAGAGGCTTTTCAAATCTGGCACGCCAAGCACCCCTGTGCAAGCAGCGGAGGGCGGCAGATCTTGCCCCACGGCCACCGTGCCTTGGGGTCCTCGAGGTGTGATTCCAGCAAGGATGTTGGGGGTTATTGTGGCCAGCTCGGGCTCGAAGGGTCCTGGGCACCTTGCTCAGTGCGCCCTCTGAAGCAATTTTTGCCTAAACTGTTTTCATCTCTGTCACGTTGGTTTTGACCCTGTGAGTCTCGTGCGTAGGCGGGGGGCCAGACCTTCCGAAGCATCCTACGCGCCATAGGGCACTCTGCTGCTTGATGGAGGTGCGGTGGCAGATGTCCCTGCTGGGGTGGCAATGCCCAGACGTCCCCGCGCCGTGGCAAGAGTCACAACGGAAGGTTCTTGATGTTTGTTCCGCCTTTGGAGGCCCTTACAGAGGCCCCAGGACCGTGAAACAGCTGGTCAGGATGAGGCGCCGGCCCCCAGGAAAGGGTCCAGAGTCTCGGGGGGGCACGTTGCGGAAAACACACACGCACACGACGCAGGATGTGTGGGAGGGGTTGGGTCGCACGGACTTGCTTTTTTACTCTGTTGTCGCAAGGTGACAGCGTATGTCGAGAGCTACGTGCAGCAGTACCCGGATCGCAGTTGCTGTCCTCGTGTCGTTCTTGCCGTTCGCATCCACATCGAATGTGTAACCGCTAAAGGCTTTTAGTTTTGGTACCCCCCATGTCTCTTGGCGGTGAGAGGACTGGTCCTAAAGCCACCTCCTCCTCCTCCTCCTCCTTCTCCTCCTCCTCCTCCCCCTCCTCCTCCTCCTCCTCCTCCTCCTCCTCCTCCTCCTCCTCCCCCTCCCTCCTCCCTCCTTCTCCTCCTCCTTCTCCAAAGTCGCCGCTGTCGCGCGGCAGGTGTCGCGGAACAACATGATTAGGTATCCCCTATTGGTTGGTCCCCAGTCTTTCAAGAAGGCCTCCGAAAAATGGTTAGTTACCCCCTACTGGTTGGGTTCTAAAGACCTTTAAGGGTTAAGTGAAGATGCTTTGCGTGCTTCAAAAGTTCGTTTTGTCAGTCTGTGGTTCTGCATGCATCCTCCTCTGTATGCTCCTTTCCTCTCTCCATATCCGCCTCCCTTGTCAGTAGTTTGATGATGTTGTCGCTTCTTCTTGTATGATCTGCGTTGTATCATCAGCCATGGAACGTGCAATTGGGCGATCGTGGATTCCCCCTATCGTCGGGCTCGCCCTCAGTTGGAAGCGAAGCACGACATGATCGAGGTCGAGGATGGAAAGGAGGAGGAGGCGGAGGGGAAGGTCGACGCGAAGAAGCAGGGTAATGATGTTCCTCGTGCAGTGCGTCCTCTCGTTATGAGACTCGGAATTGTCTTGTCCGGTCCCCTCGGCACAGGTATGGCGATGCGGCGCTGATTTTCGCCACGCACGATGGTTACCCTCAGATTGTCAGCAGGCCGGCAGTTTGCCCAATGCCATCTAGGAGGGGGCGGGGTTCAGATCGACTCTTGGAGCAGCGGCAGTTGCACCCTACACAAGTATTATTGTCAGTGCAGGATGCAGTGAGAGTCTTTGCTAGCTCGCGATGCCAGGGCCCTCGAGCGCGCCAGTCGGTCGCGGGGTGCGCGTGCGTGTGCGACTCGACTCTACACGGTGGTGTCTGCGCACAACGTACCTCATGTGCCCCCACCTCTTCCTCGTCCGTCCTATATCAACCCCTGTTTCTATCAATAGTTTCTCGCCTCACCATTGGACGTGTCGGTAGGGTGGACCAGGCGCTTCTATTGGGATGTTCTTGCCATGATCTTGAGGCACGAACTTGTCAACAGCTCCAGGGATGTAAGGAGGGTGGTCTTTAACATGCAGTTCTCGCCATAGCACCGCGCACATTCGTCTCCAACGATTGCAAAAGTTTGACGCAATGAAGATTTATCATTTCTTCAAAATGGTTGTGGTTTCAGGCTCACGTCTGTCCGCCTGAAGTTTGATCTATCTTCCTGTGAACCAGCTACGCTGGTGGAAGACGGTTCATGCTCAAAGTTGAGCCCGCATCTGATCTGGGTGTGTCCATGATCCTGGGCATTGATCCTTTTCCTTTCTTGGGGGGTTCTTTCAGCTTCTCTTCGTTCTTTGATCGCGTGTTGGGAATCGTTCGGCATTAGTTATATGTGCTTTCGTGTGGGGATCCTTCTCTTTTCGTTGAGGCTCATTTCCTGTTATCTTCGTTATGTAATATCGTTCTGGGGTTCGTTAGACATTTGTTGTATTTGCATGCTGTCCCGTGGGGGGGTCATTTTCTTTCCGTTTGATCGCGTTTGGGGGTTCGTTGGGCATGCGTTTTATGTGCATGCCCTCCCGTGGGGGGGGGGGGGGCGCTCCGTTTCGTTTCGTTGGGGGTAAGTTCTTCTTCTGTTCGTTCTTTGATCGCGTGTTGGAGCTCGTAGGGCATGTGGTTTATGTGCGTGCCCTCCCAGGGGGTCTTTTTTTTTCGTTGGGGGGTTATTTCTTATTCCCTTCGTTCTTGGATCGCATGCTGGGGTTCGTTCAACATGGCTCAACGTGGTTTAAACTGATTCCATATGGTTTACATTCGACCGCGGCATCGACATGTTTTAGAGTGCAAACCCATGGAATGAAACACCCTGCTCGCCTCCAGGGTGCCCTTGTTCTCTTGGGTTTCGATGGCTCTGCGACGGAAGGCGTAGCGCTCCAACACCAAACATCAATGGACGTCCTCGGGTCTCAGAGTTGGGTTTCTTGTGGGAGGGCCCTTAGTGCTTTTCCAACCTACATTAGCCTTGTTCACCAGAAAGAATTTCGAGCACCAAACAAGTTCCGAAACTCGAAGGTTTTCACGTGTCGGGCCCTGGGAGACATTGTTTCGACATTGTTTCGACACTCGTTCGACACTTTTCTGGGAGCTCGAACTGGTGGCGTTGCGCCCAGGCCATCAAGGCAGTGGCGGTGAAGGCATTTAAGCTCATCATTTTCGTGTACGTCGATGACACTTTCATGGTGGACCTCCAGCCGCACGCGCAGCGCGCCAAACTGGTGTTCCAGGAACTTATGTCCCTGTTAGGCTGGGACCTAGACCCGGGAAAGTCTGAAGGCATGTGCACGTGCATAAACTTGCTCGGCTGCACCGTGTCGGTCTCCCAACAGGGCGTGGAGTGGCGCCTCCACCCGCGCAAGGCCGCAGAGTGGCGTCGCGAAATTGAAGTGTCCCTGGCCGTGGGCTCCCTTTCCCCCGCCTTGGCGGGCAAATTCGCCGGCCGTCTCAACTTTGCGTGTTCGCGGGCGTTCGGTCGGGTTGGTCGTTCTTGCATCAGGCCGCTGTATTGGCGCCAGTCTTCCCATGGGTCCTGGAAGCTCACGAAACGGTTGCGATCGTGCCTCCGTTGGTGGGCTGCTTTACTTGAGGCCTTATCCCAGCATGAGCCGTACGACCGCGGAACTGGCGCAGCCCTTGTTCGATGTGTTGGTATATACCGACGCGGCGGGCGACGGAGGCGTCGGGGTCGGGGTCTTCTGGCGTGAATCAGGTGCACGAGAGTATGCCATGGATTTCGTACCGCGCAGGTGGCTGCGCCAGTTACAGTGCAGGAAAACGCAGATCAACGCTTTCGAACTCCTGGCCGCCACGGCCGCGTGGCAGACTTGGGGGCCCGAGCTTCGTTCGGCGCGTGTATCATTCTTCGTCGACAACACCGCTGCGCTGGATATTCTCGTTTCTGGGTGGTCGAAGAGACCTGACCTGAATTCTATTGCGGGCGCGTGCTGGCACGCCGTGGGCCGCTCCCGAGCGGCGGTGGAATTTCGCTACGTGCCGTCCGAGAGTAATCCTGTAGATTGCCTCAGCCGGCAAACTTTGGGTCCGTGGGCGTCGTGGAGCCGCAGGGCATTAAAGTGGCCCCGCCCCGGCTCCGTGTAGTTGCCAGGCAGGAGACGGCGCATCCGGGAGTCGCCCGGTGTGGAAGAAAGGGCGTCGTCGATTCTTTCGCTCTCGTTTGTCCTTGTCTTTCCCTTTCTCGCTTCTCTCCTTCCCTCCCTCCCTCCCTCCCTCTCCCCTCCCGCCCCTTTTGCTCCTGCTCTTCCCCCTGTCCCTCGCCTCCGCCGCCGCCGCCGCCCGCCGCCCTCCCTCCCCCGCCGCCGCCGTCGCACCTCTCCGGCCGAGGTGGCGGGCCGGCGCTGCTGGCCGGATCGGAGGTTGGGGGGCGTTTTTGTCGGCTTGGACTCGAAATTCGATTTTCCTTGGCGCGTGCGGTGGGGGTTGTGGTTCACATTGCCCATAGGAGGCGCCAGAGAACGGTCGGAGTGTGCGTGTTCAGGCAGGATGCATCCACTTGTTCTCGCCCCATGCGCCTCGCGATGTCCCCGCACGCGCGCGCGCGTCCTCGCGCCTACCACGCGCTGCCCGCCAGTGTCGCCGCAGGCCCGAGGGTGCGCCCAGCGGGGTAGCCGTGCTTCGGGGGGGCCCGGCCGGGCCCATGCGGCCCGTGCAGCCAGTTGGCCTCCGCCCCCCGGCTGCTGCCCCGGCGGCGGCGGCGGCGCCCCCGCGCCGCGCTTCCACCTTCAGGGGGCCAGTCCTGCGTAGCAGGAGTCCCAAGCGCCCTCGCGAGCCAGCTTGGCTCTCTCACACAGCCAGCGGGCCGCACGGCCTTGGTTCTGTTTCCACGCACGTGGCGCCTGGCGTTCCCAGCAGTGGGCCGGCCGCACCGTTCGAGGGTCCACAACCGAGTGCGTTGTTGAACCCGCTCCGCCCTAGGCCCGGAGTTGGCCAAACCTGGTTGCAGGTCCTTTCGCACCAATCCACTGCTTTCGACGTTGCGTACGCAATGGGCGAATATTTTGATGAGCAGGTGATTTGTGCAGCCTTAAACCGGAGACCATTTACAGTGCGCTTTGCGGAGCATTTCCCGTCCGAGGGCGGCCCGAGGAAACGCCTCGGGGCATTGCTTTCGGCACAGCAGGGGCGCCCTGCGAGCGAGCTGCAGGCCGGCTTGTTGCTTGAAGGGTCTCGGAGGGCAGCTCTGGAGACCATCAGGGGCTCGTGGAAGTCTACGCGGAGCGCTCTGTACGCGTGGGCAGAATTTTGTGAATGCTTCCACCTGCCTCACTTCCCGGCCACCATCACACACGCTAGGCAGTTTGCGCTTTTTGTCCCGCACGGGCCAACTCTAGCAAAATATTTACAACATCTTCGATGGGCCCACAAGTTCTTAGATGCGTCGCTCGGCTGGTGGACCGGCGGTGTTCAGCAACTGGTGAAGGGCGCCTCCCAAAGGGACGCGCCCGTCGTGCAATCTAGGCGCTCCGTGCTCCGCGGGGACGCGGTACGAAAGATGGTCGCTGCTGCAGAGGCGCAGGGCCAACAGGAATTGGCCGACGCATTTGTGATCGCGCCAGGATTTCTCTTCCGCGCCCAGTCAGAAATGTTGCGCTTGGAAGTCGGGCAGTTTAGGCCCGGTAAGGTTTCAGGTATCATATTTGGCGCCCGGCACGTCGAAGTCACGTTGGCTCGCCGGAAAAACTATGCGTTTCCAGTCACCCTCCGCAGGGAGTGTGCCGGCGCGAACCAGGGGCGTCGCATGTGCGCCTTTCATCGTTTGCGGTGCGCCGTAGAGCGCGCGAGACTCAGCAGACGCTCGCGTGTGTTTTCGTTCAGCTACCGTTTCTTCCTACAGCGCACGCGCTCCTTTGGCGAAGGTGTCGGCGTCCCCGGCGTGGGGACGCACGCGTTCCGCAGGGGCGCCGCCCAGGACATGGCCGCCCAGGGCTGCCAACTGTGGGAAATCCTCCAGGCCGGAGGACGGAAGTCGGCCGCGTTCATGGCGTACATGAAAGAACACGAATTAGAAACGGGCGCGTGTGCGCAATTGGTGGCCGACCACAGCGATAGCGGTTCCGAGGGCCGGTAGCGGCGCATACGTTGGGCCAGAAGGCGCGCCCAGCCCTCACGTTGGGCGTATGCCAGGGGCTGGGCTTCTGAGCCCGAGGCACTCACATAGCGATGCCACAGGTCGGTGCGGGCTCTTGTGGCCCGTAGGGCTGTCCCTCCCCGCTGCTGCTGGCGCGGCCCTGCCGCCGCTGCCTGAGCCGCAGGCGCCGCGGCCGCTTCGCAGCGCAATTTTCTGCAGACGTAAACTCGTTTAGTGTCTCGGAAAATTCGTTGGGAAGGGCCGCTGTTCATATTGATCCAATTGTGGCCTTACTTGATGTTGCCCCCTCGGGCTGATAAGGAGGTCGGGTTTGCTGGTTTTCGAAACTCGATTCATTTGGAAGGGATCTGGTTGGGGTCCCGTGCCCGGGACTTCCGATCCTGTGGTTGCCACGTGCGCGCGTTCGCTTGCAGCTGTTGGGCCCGAGTGGCCCCTACAGCCCAGCAGGGAGTCGGGGTTTCATCCCTCGATTTTCCCACCCGCCCATCCCCCTTTGGGCGTATGCCAGGGGCTGGGCTTCTGAGCCCGAGGCACTCACATAGCGATGCCACAGGTCGGTGCGGGCTCTTGTGGCCCGTAGGGCTGTCCCTCCCCGCTGCTGCCGGCGCGGCCCTGCCGCCGCTGCCTGAGCCGCAGGCGCCGCGGCCGCTTCGCAGCGCAATTTTCTGGGAGCTCGAACTTGTTTGTGGGATGTGGCCCTTAAGTAGGATGGGAGCAACATGCGTGACCCTACTGCATGTTCATGCCCTCCCTGGACCCTGTCTTCATGCATCTGGAAGGATGAGCGCCGAGCGGATGCTCACGACGGGACGCTCGCCTGCGCGGCGGCGGGCCCACTGGGCGTCCGCTTCGCAGGCGGTCGCTCCGCGTCGAAGGAGGGACTGCGTCCCAGGAGGCGCCCAGGGGTCGAAGTTTCCACGCTCCTCCTCCTCCCCCGCCGTCCTGATCACGGATGTGGAGGAGCATGCGAGGAGCATGCAGATGAAGAACGGGTTGGGTAAGACGTCGTGCCCCAGGATGGGGAGGATGGCGGAGGAATCGGAGGAGGAGCCTTGCAGATGAAGGACGGGCTGGGTAAGACGTCGTACCCCAGGATGGGGAGGATGGAGGAGGAATCGGAGGAGGAGCATATGCGTTAGGAGGAGGAGGGGCCGGTTGCCGCCTCCCGCGGAAGGCTCGCTTCGATGCTTCCGATTCGGTTCGGGTTGTCGACGGCCTCCGATGCCGACTCGGTGCGGCCTCGGATTCTCCGATTTGCGGGATCCGATGTCTCAATGGAGGCCTACTGGCCTTCCGATTTCTGCCGATTCGACTTCTCCCGGCTCGGCTGCCGACTTCGCCGATCCGATCCATTTCGATCGCCGATCCGACTTATCGATTTGATTCTGGGGTCTCCTGCCCCACCCCCCATACCACTCCTTCGGTAGCAGATCATGGGGGCCTGGTATACCCTCTGAATTCCGTCTTTAGCGTCGATGAGTGTTTGGGAGTCAACGGGATAGCCCGATTGAGCGTCGATCTGGCGTCGATTGGCATCGGTTTAGCGTCGACTAGCGTCGATTCACAAGAGCCGACAAGATGGTAACGGCCCGATCCAGCCCCGACCCCCGCCCGCACCGAAAACACCTCCCGTGCGATCCCTCACCCCGCTCCCCGCCAGCGACAGCCCATTTACGACGGCCCATGTATGAGAACCCCCATGCGAGCCACACCCCCGGGAATGTTGGCCAATTCGCTGTACGTTTGGTGAGGGTGTGGAAGTGCAGAAACCCAGCAGACAGCCAGGAGACATTTGCGCGATGTTCAAAACCTTTCGTAGACTTCTGATATATCCAGCGTCGCTGGACCACTATTGGCTGACTGCACACGACATTGTTGTCTTAATCGCTCCATCTTAGGCCGTGTGCCGACCGCAGGCTCAGCCGCCCCCCCTTCGCCTGGGGCCTGAGGAGGGAAGAAGAAGGAGACGGGGTCTACCCTGGTCATACTTCGAAGCGGGGCGTCCAAAAAGTCTCCCTCCACCTGTCTTCGTGCCGCCGCCGCTTGCGCCCTTTGCCCGCTGCCCTTCTGCTCTACGCTGCCCCCTTCCGCCCTGTTCCTGTTCTCGCGCTTCCCTGGGGCGCTCTCGCGAGCCCGTCTGGCCCCTCCCCGCATTCCCTCGGAGTCAAGACGTTGGGGGGGGGGATGGGCAAAGGGAGGGACTCGCCGTTAGGGGCCCGAGAGCCCCGCCCTGCACAGGAGCTTGCGGAGTTGCCGATCTCTTGGCGATGTAGCGCCGGTCCCAGGTCGATGCTCCCCCCATGCTTGTCCGCCCTCATCGTTGCCCATCCCCACCCCCACTCGTCGAAGGAAAAACGCCATAAACATAAACTGTTGGCGCTCCGCGCGTCGTTCTTGCATCCGCGCTGGAACCTCCCTGGCTTCGCATCCGGAGCCGCCCCTGGCGCGCTCCGCGCGCCAGGGAGGGGGGTCCAGCGCAGATCCAAGAAACCCGCGCGGACCGCCGAAAGTCTTCTAACACTGCAGCCTGCTGTACAACCGTGAGCTCGGGTACAAGGACCTCCTGGACGCGTCGGATGACAACGGCAACACGGCGCTGATATACGCTGCGGCGAAGGATGCAAAGAGTCCTCATTTCTCTTCATGTCCATCATTTCTCTGATCTTCTCTCTGCCTTTGCAGTGTTGCCGACCGCTGCCGCTCAGGGCCCTCGAGCCACCCGCCACATCGCCCCCTCGGAAACAGCGCAGCTCCCGCCCAGCGCGAGCCCTGCGGGGCATTCCGTTTCACTGGAGCTCCCGTGTTTGGATGGCTTTCGCGCGAGACACCCTCGACAAGGGCGCCCGCGAGAGCGCGGAGCGATTCGCGCTTCGTGCTGCGCGAAGCCCGACGCAGGGCGCCCCTGCTTTGTGGAAGTCGATTAATGGAGAGGAAGCATGCTGCCAAATAATTCCCAGATGTCCAAGACATCTTTCAAGCATGTTTTAACCATATGTAAAATCATGTGTGAAACCTTTTTTTAACATGTCTACAATTGCAACACACATGTTTGACTCAATGCTAGGACTGCTGAAGTGCCCATTGGTCACCGCCCACCAAACCACCCCAACCCAACCCGAAGGCCTCAATTTGCCCTCCATTTCGGGTGTGGGTGTGGGGGTCGGAGAACAATGAAACCACACCTATGGAATCCGTACCCCACCCCCAACCCGAAATTGGGGTCTTCGGGTTGGGTTGGGGTGGTCTGGTACGGTAGGTTCGCGTCGTGTCGACCAGCGGCGACCCCAGCGCGGGCGTTCAAGGTTGAACGCCGCCGGCGACCCAGAATCGGTCGATGTTGAACGATCGGACGTTGCGGCAGCGGCCGATCGTTCAAGGTTGAACGATCCCTGCGGTGTCAAAAACCAACGCCGGGGTCGACACGACGCGAACCTGCCGTGGGTAGTCCATTGGCATGGCATCCACAACCCCCGCCCAAGAGGGCACTCCGCAGGCCGCGCGCCGAGGCAGCCGGCCGACCGTCGGGCTCCGGACTCGGCGGGCGCCGGAGGCGGGGCCCGGGCCCTCGTGGGCCCCGCCCGCGTGCTCGCCGTGCACCCCGCTGCCCTCCCGGTCGCCTGGCATCGCTCCTCCTCCTCCTCCTCCTCCTCCTCCTCCTCCTCCTCCTCCTCCCTCCTCCTCCCCTTCCTCCTCCTCCGCCTCCTCCTCCTCCTCCTCCTCGGGCTCCTCCTCCTCCTCCTCCTCCTCCGCGGCGGTGGATTCTAGGTCTCCCAGATGGGGTCGGAGCAGATGGGGTCGGTGGATCCACGCCGACGTCGCCGGTGCATCGGCGATGCATCGGCGATGCATCGGCGATGCGGCGCGAGCCTCCGGCCCCACCTCCGACCCTATCTAGGAGGCTTCTATGGATAGACCTCCTACCCCGACGCGTCGATTCAGGAATGGGCCGTGTTCGGTTCGCGAGAGGGCGTCGCGGCCGGCATCTCTGCGAGTCCAGGTCCGTCGGTTTCCCGGCATCTCTGCGAGTCCAGGTCCGTCGGTTTCGGTCCCAGGCCGTTCCCACCAAGGGGAGGTGTACGAAAGGGAGGTTTGTCCACCGCCGATTTTCCCCCGGCGAGGACGATCGTGGAGCATCCTGGACCACCCTGCGAACAAAAGTACACGCACGAAGCCGAAGAGGGCACGCGGAATGGACGTCCGAGCGGTGGCGAGGGTCGGGCTGCAGCGACCCACGAGGCAAGCGACACCGCCCCACGCCGCGGCCCTCCGTGCCCGCGCTGCGGCCCCTCGGGGGCCGCAGCGTGGGCTGGGCGAGAACCCAGGCTGAAATGCTCAGTTCGGGTGTTGCCAGAAGTGCCCATATCCCAAGGAGCCCCCAGCTTTTCGCTTCGTTTTTGGGCCCCAGGGGGCCTCTGGGCCTCGAGAGGGGTGCTCTGGAGGCCGTCTGGGCCACCCCGAGAGTCCTGGGGGGCACCTTGGGCCAGCACCCGACCGGTACTACGCCGAGGCCCGTGGGGTCGCAGGTGGAGTGGTGTCGCTTGCCTTCTCGCCCAGGCAGGTCCTGGGGGGTGAGGCTCCGCATCGGCGCTGGCAAGCAGATCCGTGGTGGAGATCGGCAGCGGAGCATCTCACCACCGATGCCGCGGCCCTCCCCTCGTCGCCGTCCACGGCTCGATGCGCCTCGGCTCACCACGGTCGGCGCGCGCCCCCATTGGGCAGTGGTCCGTGGAGCAGCGGCGTGCGCGCACCTGCCTCGCTGTCCCCCTCCCAGGGAAGACAGCCTGATGTGGCCAATTGGGGCTCAACCCAGACATGATCGCGTCGCAGAAATTCGGGACGGGCGGTTTTTTGTTTATCTTCGGCCCCAGGGAGCCCTCGCCGGGCCTCGGGACCGTCAAAAAGCGTCTCAGGACGAAGAACTGGTCCCAGGGAAAGGGTCGGGACTTCCAGGGACGCCGTCCTGGAAAAATCAGGACGTCGCATGTCTGGGAAGAAACAGGGGTCAATGCAAAGGGGGGTCATCCAGAACGCCGGATCTTGCTGGATCCTGCAGGGCCAGGGTTGCATTGACCCGGGTTTGGGTGCAGCATCTTGCAGGATCCTTCGCATTGACCCGGGTTTGGGTGCTAGTTCTTACAGGATCTTGCCACTCCGGGTCAAGCCGTTTTTGTTCAGGGCCACGTTTTCGTTGAAGCTTACTTGCTCGACGCATGTTTCATTTTAGATCTCCTGATTTACCTCCTTTCGCTCGCGGGCTTGTTGACTACCGTTGGCGCGCAAGAGGCATCGGGTTACCAAGAGGTCACGCCAAATCCAGACGGCGGAGTGAATCCGAGGTGCCATGAGTTAGAGCCAGAAGGCGCGTGGAAAGATGTAACAGAGGCCCAATGCAAGAAGTATGCCGCGATTCAGGGTGGCCAGTTTGCAAGTAAACCAGCTGGTAACGCACCGTGGGGGTGCTCCAGGGGCGACTGGGATACTAAAACGTACGAATATGTACAGCCTGGAGACACGAACTATCGGGAGGAAAACTCTGAGTACCACCTCGTCTGCATCAATTCCTCGTACACTGTCACTTGCCAGGGCATGACCTGCCTTGAGATGTTCAGGCGTTACTGCGAGGAGAACAAGGCAGGCTTCGGCTCCAACAGTAACGCGGCGGCGTCCGCGAATTCTCCGAAGGACATCCTCGTTGCCGAGTGCCCCGACTGCGATGGCGCCGCCAGCACGGACATTTGCCCAACGAAGCTTCGCTTGGACGATGCCGGCGAGGAGGCGGAGCTGACCCCGAGGCTCGACAGGACGTCCGTGGCGGTGTCGGTCCCGCTCGGGTTGGTGTCCGCTCTCGTCGCTGTGGGTGCGCTCGTCCGCGTCTCCCGCAGCCGCACGTCCAGTCGGCCAGCGCCCGTGGAGGACGAGCAAGATTTGCTGCGCAAGTGAACGAGCACGCCTGTGGCAGCAGCTCCGGGCCAGAGGAGACAGGGCTTGCCGAGTCCCGCATGCTTTTCTGAGATGCCTCCCCGCCTGACGTGCGCAATCGCTTTGCGCCAGCTCAGCGATCAAAGTTGCGTGCCTCTCTCTCTCCCTCTCTCTCGCGCGGTCTCTCATACGAACAACCGTACATCCTGCTGACCCCCCTTCCCCCCGACGCCCCTATAGCCCTGCATCTGTACAGGGTATCTGATCTGCACTGATCCGCTCGGCGCGCAGGAAGGAGACCAACCTCCTGCAGGCTCACGGGAACTTCGTGGTTTCCCTCACTTCGATTTGAGTTTGAAGTTTCGCTCGACGCGAGTCGCGAGAAAGCTTCGCTCCGTTTTTATGTCTGTCCAATAAGACAAAAAAAGTTCGTACAGGATCTTGCAGGATCCTGCAGGGCCTGACCGACCCGGGTCTGGATTGACTCGGGCCCGCAGATCCCCGAATTGAGTCCTGGCCGACCCGGAGCGATCTTGGACCCCATCCGGGCTCATGCTGGCGAACGGCCCCCGGCTAGTGTTCGATTGGCCTCCGTCGTTCTCGCGCACAGGCGCCTCCCAGAAGGGGTCCTCCGAGGCTCGGCTCGGAGACCTCGTCCACGTGCCCGCTGCCCCCAACCCCCCTGGTGGCCCTCCTGGAGCGCCTCCCGCGATGGGGTGGTGCGCGCACGTTTGGTGAGGCTGGACGCAGGGGGTCGTCATCCATAGTGGTAATAATGATAATGCTGATGCTGCTGCTGCTGATGATGATGATGCTGTTGCTGATGCTGCTGATGCTGCTGATGATGATGATGATGATGCTGATGCTAGTTATGGTGATGGTGATGGTGATGGTGATGGTGATGATGCTGATGCTGATGATGATGATGGTGGTGTTGCTAATGATGATCATAATGATGATAATGATGATGACGATGACGGTGGCGATGATGAAGGTGCTGATGATGCTCGGAATGAGGATGCTGCTGCTGCTGATGATGATGATGGTGCTGATGATGATTATGATGATGACGATGATGATGATATTTGTGCTGATGCTCATGCGGATGAGGATGATGCTGCTGATGAGGATGAGGATGATGGTAATGGTGATGGTGATGATTATGATGTTGCTGCTGATGATGATAGCCATGACGATGGTGATGATGCTGATGGTGGTGATGATAGTGATGATGTTGACACTGTAATCATGACGACGATGCTGATGATGAGAAACGTAATGGTGATGGTGATGGCGGTAATGATGATGATTGCGACGATGAGGATGCCGTTGCCGATGCCGATGACGACGATAATGATGACATGGGTGATGATCATGATGATGGTGAAGATGGTGATAGTCAAGCTGATGGCGATGGTGATGATGATGATGATGATGATGATGATCATGATAATGACGATGATGAGGATAAGTAGTACGTGTATGATGAGCATAATGATGATGGTGATGATTTTGAGGATAAGGATGATGAGGAATATAAACGTGGTGGTGGCGGTGGTGACTGACGATGAAGCTGATGATAATGGAGCTGATGAAACTGATGATGCTGCTGATGATGGTCATGCTCATGGGCATGATCACAATCATGACCACGGTCATTATCATTCTGATGATACTGAGTATGCTGATGAAGATGATGATGGTGGTGGTGGTGGTGCATGTGATGATGATGATCCTGATGCTGATGATGACGATGACGCTGAGATGATGCTGAGATGATGCACGATGACGATGATGCTGATGATGCTGATGCTGGTGATGATGAGGATGATGATTGTGATGATGCTGATGATCATACTGATGATGACGATGATGCTGACGATGACGATGAGGATAATGAGGAATATACATGTGGTGGTGGTGACTGACGATGAAGCTGATGATAATGGAGCTGATGAAAATGATGATGATGCTAATGATGATCATGCTTATGGGCATGATCACAATCATGACCACGGTCATTATCATTATGATGATACTGAGTATGCTGATGATGATGATGATGATGATGATGATGATGATGATGGGGGTGGTGGTGGTGCATGTGATGATGATGATGCTGATGATGACGATGACGCTGAGATGATGCTGAGATGATGCACGATTACGATGATGCTGATGATGCTGGTGATGATGAGGATGATGATTGTGATGATGCTGATGATCATGCTGATGATGACGATGATGCTGACGATGATAATGATGATGCTGATGATTATGATGATGGTGATGATGGTGGTGGTGATGGTGAAGATGATGATGGTGGTGCTGGTGATGATGATGATGACGATGATGATGATGATGATGATGATGATGATGACGATGACGATGACGATGACGATGACGATGACGATGACGATGACGATGACGATGACGATGACGATGACGATGACGATGACGATGATGATGATGATGATGATGATGATGACGATGATGATGGTCCTCCCAGCCCGCGCTCCCTCCAGGCGACCGTTTTGGCTATCCCCTGGCGATAACGGGCGAAGCAGGTGGGGGGAGGGGGGGGGGTCAAGTTCCCAGACTGCGCCGGTGCTGACTGTGGCGTGCGCAGTGGCGGGGAGGGGGAGGGGAGGGGGAAGAGGACGACGAGGAGGAGGAGGAGGAGGAGGAGGAGGAGGAGGAGGAGGCAGAGGAGGAGGTGGAGGAGGAGGAGGAGGCGGAGGAGGAGGAGGACGAGGGGAGACTGTGCCGCTCCCGGGGCATCTCGAGAATGATAAGAACAAACGCGGGCTCCAGGTGTCGCCGGCGGGGCCCGAGAGCGGCGGAGCCGTGGGCGGGAGGGGCGGGGTATTTGCCGACGGGGCCGCGACCGTGCGTGCAAGAAGCTCGGGAAAGTCCACCAACTGTGGCGAAGCGCCCTGACTCTCAGAGGAGGATAAGGGTACCCGTACCGCTATCCTTCGTTCGTTTTCCCCTTTTTGAGCCTCCTGGGCGGCCCTCGTCACCGCCGCTGTATTCGCCTCGAAATTCTGGTCAGAAAGCACCCCGGGAGAGGTCCGGGGAGTAGCGGTATCGGTACCTAGTGCTCTCCCCAGACTCGTCTTTAGGCCCACGCAAGGATTTTACAAGAGCCTCGTGTGGTTTGCACCACATGTCATTGAAACTTCTCTGGCTGGGACTGTCTTCTATCAAGGCATCGGCTTTCTGATGTAAAAGCATTGCGTTTGTTTTCGGAACATGTTTGTGTTCTGCTAACCTATCCTGGTAGGCCGATAGGAATGGCGGGACGGTCAGTCTCTGCTCAAGAATTGGCTACCTGAAGAGGTGTCGTTGTGATAGAAGCCTGCTCTGCGCTTCTGGTTGCCAAGGGCCGCTTTGGCTGGAGCCGATTTTGCGCCAGCGCTTTTGCCCACATACATCTCGGGGATTCTTGCGAGCGACCCTCGCGCCATGTACCGCAACCTCCGTCCTGCTGCCCTGAACATGTCCCTGGTTCCCGGGCTGCACCTGTCGACGTCGAAGGTCGGAGGAGGGCCAGTTGAGACACAGGCGGCTGTCGCCCGGTCCCGCTCCGCTCAGCACCGGCCCCCTCAGACCCCTGCGGGGCAGGATCCGTTTTGAGAGGCGGATCCAGCCGTGGCGACGAGAAGCTGCCAGGGAGGGGCCGCCGCTGTCCCGACCAGCCCTCCTCCGAGAAGAGCCGGTGCCTGCTGACCTCGAGCAAGGGCGCCAAGCCGCGCCCGCCGGAGCTGGAGCACTGCGGCGTGACGGGTCACCGCATTGGGTCGATGAGCAGCAGCAGCACGTCGGCTGACGGCGAGAGTCTCAGGGCCTTCAGCCCACCAGACGGATCCATGTGTGAGCTGCTGGGTGCGGACCAGGACGAGGCCTCCGACTCCGTGGTCTCAGGGCTCAATCCTCAGAGGAGGAAAAGATGTACCCATACCTCTACCCTTCGCCCCGTTTTCTCCCCTCGTTGGGCTTCCTGGGAGGCCCTCGTCGCCACCGCTGGATTCGCCTCGAAATCCTGGTCAGAACGCATCCAGGGAGAGGTCTTGGGGAGTAGCGGTATCAGCATTTTTTGTTAAACCCTGACACACTCGCGCCCGGAAAACGTGACAACGTGAGGTGTTTGACCGTTTTCGGCCTGCGGTGGCCCTTGCCGGACCCGTGGACAGGCGAGCAACGTCTCGGGATGAAGGAAGCTTGTGCCCAAGAGGGGGTCCAGGCTTCTGGGGAGCCATGCTCTGAAACAAATCACGACGCTGGAGCTAATAAAGGTGGTCGAGCCCTGCGAGCCCACCGTGATGGACCAGTGCGGGCCACCCTTGCCGTGCAGCAGCGTGGTGGTGCGGAGTTCCGTCGGGGCCCCAGCGCTCGGAACTGCAGTGCCTTGCGAGGCGGGCGCGGTCGACGACTCGGAGCCACCGTCGCCGTTTGGCAGCATTCTGGTGAGGACCGTGCGCCAGCCTGCAACGCAGCCAGAGCGGAGACGCGGCTGGGCCGCGGAGGCCCAGGCGGTCGAAGTCTACGAGGTTGGCGCGGCGGGCCATCGTGAGCCTGACTCGCCGTTCGACAGCATGCTGTTGAGTGCACAGCGCCAGAACGCCTTCACCCGCAGCGTTCTGCGTCCTGCCGCTGCGTGACGCGCGTGCCCGGTGCCGGCTTGGCACGGCCGTTGTGGCGCAGCAGGTCAGTGCGGCGTGTTGTTGCACGGCGGCACGATATCCTGCTGTGGTGGAGCGCCAGCCAGGAGCGGTCTCATCGCCCCCGGTATCGACGCAATCGTTTTTTTTTCTCACGACGCGAGTAATTAGACTACAGCGTCGTCTGGGACACGGTGAATGAAGAGGGTGCGACCTTTCGGCTGCGCAGCCGGAAAGACCGCTATCTTCTGTTGTGGTGGAGCGTTGGCCGGAGCAGCGCTGTCTAACTCAGTTTCGAGGTGATCCATTTTCCTGTGTACGACGCGAGTAGACTTCGACGTCGTCGTGGACCGCGAGATGCATTTGCACGATGACATTTGACCATGGTGATATAGTGCAGTAGGTCTGTTGACATTTGGAAGGATATCTGGAGGGTTATTGGGGTTCTGGCAGTCTGAAAGTTGTTGCTTCTAGATTGCACGACCTTTTGCCCGGGTGGATCTTTGGTCATTGCGAGATCGAGCTCGTTTGAAGAAACATGGACGCAGGCCCAATTCAGTCTTGTCCTCATGTTTGTTTTTTGCTTTGCGTTTAGCTTGCCTAGTCTTCTGATCGACGCGAGTAGACTTCGACGTCGCTTGGGAACAGATGGCTGCGAGTTAACCATCCTCCACTCTGTCGAAGTGTGAGTTCCGATGCAGGTGATCTCGCGTCCTCGCGAGAATGTGGCGCCTCCTTGCCCAGATAATCGTGGAGACCCGAACAGAGTTTCATGTTTTATGCTCAGCTGCCTCGGCTTCGAGGTTGAGTTTTCACGGACGACGCACACGCACGCACACA